ATAGGTGTCTTGACAGCACTAGAAAGCACAGAGCAGATTCAGCAAAGCCTCCATATGCCAATATTGTCTTTATTATGGGGAATTTCCTGCAGGTGTAAAGCTAAATATCTTTTATAGTTTGGAAGCAGACATAAGGCGCCCAATGAGATGTGTCCCATTAAAGGCATGGAAAATAAGTATGCATATTTAGCAGAACACTGCACAGCTCTCCTCCAACTGCACTCTCCCTCCTCCCAGAGCACTCCATCTCTCTCCTCCGTGCTCCTCTTTTCTTCTTTATGGCGGCAATTGTTCCTTTTCATCACATCATTGGTTGAAAGAGAACTTTAACACGCCGTTGGCTCAGCAAGAGCTCGACATGATTTGATAGGCTGAGAGGCCTCCCATCGGTCCCTTTGGGCTGTAAAACAACAAGTCTAGAAGCTTATTTTATGAGTGCACGCCTCTGCTCTTTGCATGTTTATGTCAAACATTTGGAACAAATGGCATCCATTGGCTGGAACAACACAGATAAATCTAGTCAATTCGCAGGCAAGGAGAGCAGCACAGGCCACTGAGAAAGTGGCCCACTTGATGGCTGACAAGAGGAGTGCTTGCATTATTCAATTAATACCTGAAAGGGGTACATTTTATGCAGCATTTGCTAAAGCATCCACTCGTCAACATACGCATGGCACACACAAACACACACATACTCCCACACAAACACAGGGACTTGTGTTTGCATCCTGGGAAAAGACTGGACTCCCCTTCCATTTTGCCAAATCAAATATACAGTGAGAGCAAGCTAAAAGGCACTTTCAATCAGCCGCTCTGGGTCTGTCTGTCAATCTGGGAACAACAACAATCTAGCCTACTTGGAGTGGTCTAGTCAACATCCATTCCCCAATAAATTCAATCAGTGATGCTTTGTGAATGCGTCTGTGTGCGCGTGCGATGTGTGTGTCTAAGTGCAAGTGTTTATGAGAGAGGCAAAGAGAAAGACAGAGACTCCTTCTGACAGGGTTGTTTTAGAACAACAAAGGATCATTTCAAAAGTGACACCTGCATGTATAGAGGATGTTGAATATTCAAGAAAAAATATACAGACACATCCAGGCTGGGAATATAGAAGTGAATACATTTTATTTTGAAGGCGTAATCCTATTCCTCATTCAAAGTGACAATAGGAATCTCTAATTCACCAAATAATCTTAGAAAGCCAAGTAGCAGAGTTAACAGGCCTGAGCTAATGACACTGATGTGGAGGGCTGCACGCTGGAGTGATTGTCTGACTGTTTGAGACCCAAAAGCAGCACTAGCAGGCTCATCATGGACCCGCACTCTCATTATTTGGCCACAAATGGAAATGCAAATCGCTCGCTTTGCTGCGGACGCCTCAAATTTATTAAACTAAAAGGTTTAATTTCCATTTTTCTCTGCATCAGCTTTATTTATAAATGTCGTGCCCTATGAAGACCCTGTTATTTTCTCCCTCTCCTGCAGGCTCTTAACAAATCTGCTCATTAATATGGAAATGGAGAATCAATCGCTTTTTCCGGCGACAGAGGGCTGTTTCCCTCTGCGGTGTGTAATGTGCTCTGACTGGTCAACAGCACAAACAGATTCACATGCATACACACACACAGCATATATAAATCCATACATTACCACATATCTATATACAGTATCTATTTATATCTCCATCCACATATTTAAATAACATATTCTACACTGTATTTTACATTATGGTTGTAACATCCGGTGAGCGCTGAATTTTTCAGCCCATTCAAACGACTATTAGACTATTGCCAGAATGGCACCAGATGTTGCAGCATTAATAACCCATAATATCAAGTCCTGCTTATCCAACCTTTTCAGAGCCCTAAAATAACACTCATAGACCTTAATGAGATCTAATTATGCACAAGGTTCTTATTCAGGGCAATATGATGATAATTGCATCTGTGGCTTTTAACACTTGGTCGTCATGTTGGCCAGTAAATTGCTTCTCTCTCTCTCTCTCTCTCTCTCTCTCTCTCTCTCTCTCTCTCTCTCTCTCTCTCTCTCTCTCTCTCCATCTGTCTGTCTGTCTGTCTGCCTCTCTCTGTCTCTTTTTCTGCCTTTTTATAGTCAACAGAGGGGAGTGAACTATCACACCTATCCACTCTGGTCCGCGACCTAATGAACATTTCTAAATGGCCATGACCAGCTGGTTAAGAGACTAATGTAGCAGCTATTAGCCAAAGAGGTTGTTTCCACACAGAATCATCTGTGGAAAGCAGCATAAGAAAAGGCAGGAGAGAGAGAGAGAGAGAGAGAGAGAGAGAGAGAGAGAGAGAGAGAGAGAGAGAGAGAGAGAGAGCGGACAAGGACAGACAGGTCCCCGTTTTCACGCTATTCCTCTCCATACACACACACACACATATATATATATATATATATATATATACACACACACAGTACATGCATACGCACACATTGCCCAGCCTGGCACAGCATGTTTATCTTTCACATTCTGCAGCAAACAAACCATGTGACGTATTCTCAACCCACAGTGCATTAGTGCTTATTAGGGCCTCAAGGTGTGTGAGTGTATGTGTGTGTGTGTGTGTGTGTGTGTGTGTGTGTCTTATTAGGAAAATTCAGTTTCACTCAAGGTCTCAGCACTGTGGTTGCAGACCACTGGCCATTGATTATTCATAGAGTCTGTGATTGGGTCCATTAATACAAGATTAGGGAAGGAACCCATGCTCATTTTGTGCGTGCGTGTGTGTGTGTGTGTGTATTTGTGGGCCTGCATGCATGTGTTTGTGGAGAGGAGTTGACTTGCCATGAATCCGCAGTTTGTGTTTATCTCGAGGCTATCAACTGTAAGGCAGAAGGAGCACAATAGCAGAGTACGAAGCTGTTAAGTTACTTATCAACAAAAGCACATTAGTATAAGTTAAATGTATTAAGTGCTAGGCTGCTATAAAACCAAAGTAACACGGTGCCTTTGTTTAAAAATGAGCAATAGGATTCAAACAATAAAAAGGAATATTTTAACCTCCATCATTCACCACATACTGTAAGATTTACACCTAATAGCATTTGTTCTTCAATTGAAACTTAATCTGGGTAAATGGTGCTTAAATGTTTAAATCACATTTACAGGCTGTCAACTGATGTGATGTTCTTCACATGGTCACCCTTTGTTTGAATGAAAATAAATTGATGGCAAATGAGAAAGGATTCTGTGAAAGCCGTCGAGGAGACCTATTGGATCGTAGCTCCCCCAAGTGGCCATTTTAGGCAACTAACGGAGCTTCAAAGCCAATGTGGAAAAGCACGCACGCACGCACGCACGCACGCGCACACACACACACACACACACACACACACACAGGAGCTCTCAGGGGGTCTGATACTTCTTATAGGGACGAGTAAAATAAAATGATTTCCCCGTAAATTGTCTGGGATTGCTGCCGAAAACGAGGTCACTGTTACATATCATCAAAGAGGCCGTCTGGGTTTGCCTCTCCGTTGCTTTCTCACAGGCGTAAGAGACCAACTGAGCCAGCAGACACAGCCATACATCATCATCCTCATCATCATTATCATCATTAACATAATCATCATAATCATCAAGTGGAGGAGATTGCTGTGGTATTTGACCTACAAGAGATCATACTCAATACTGAGTAAAAATCAGACCTGGATAAATAATTTGTGATTGTTCTTTGTTTTGTTTTAGTCAACCTCGCAGCCCAGGTGGGTGGAGTTTGCCTTTTAGTTCCTTTTTTTTGTTTTGGGGTGGTAACACTATTTAAAAGTACTCCATTACAGGGTACACCAGTAGCTCACTTGGTAGAGTGAGCACGCCACATACTAAGACCTTACCGGAGTGGCCTCGGTGTAACTGCAACCATCTCTCTCTCTCTCCCACTCACCCCCCCATCTCCTGTACAAAATAAATAATAATAATAATAATAATAAATAAAAATAATAAATAAATAAAAATACTTCATTACGAGTAAAAGTCCTGTATCCAAAATCCTGCTTACATAGAGTAATGTGAGCAAAATTAACTCAAAATATCAAAAGTAAAAGAGGTACTTAAATGACAATAAGGCCCCTGTTATAGACTATTGTATGTTTGGATTATAATTAATAATTGATTAAAGGTGTAAGCAGTAATGTTGTAGCTGGTCATAGTTTAACAACTCAATATCATTTTTGACATTTCTATTTAGAGCAATACATCATATTTTATATTTAAACTATAAATCTTCAAAGTAACTGCAGTTGTCAAATAAAGGTAGTAGTAGTGTAGGGAGGACAAGTATACAGAAGTATAAAAATGGAAATACTTTAGTAGGTGACAAATTAAAACTGTACTTCTACAGTACTTGAGAAACTGTAGACAGGGCAGATGGGTAAATGACATCTTCAGAGATATTGCTTGATAAACAAACAGTCAGGTTTCTTAAATTAAGACTAGAACCAACAGGGCAACTTACAAAAAGGACCTCCAGTTTCAGTGCCAGTTGCTTTTTGTCAATTTGCGTATCTACCACTAAAGTACAATATATACTTACGTGGTAGATACACTTAGGTGTGTTATTACCTGATCTTGTAGCCCTCTGGCTCCCTTGTTGTGCACATAAATGAAGGTGTGTTTAATGATATTACCACAAACTGAAAACATGCAGGCAGGCAGTAGTATCTGGAGTACTGGCTGCTTCCTGTGCCTGTTAGTGCTGTAGGCCTACCTGATGGCAATGTGGAGGTAAGATGAGTACATACACAATGCACAGAGAGTGGGAGCTGGGGCCCAGAGTCACATTTGTATTGCCCCAGGGTCCCCTTATATGTTGACCTCACCATGACTCACAATAAAACAATGAATGAATAAATAAGAGAGGTAATCAGAGCACCGCTGGATCCAGATGTACTTTACACCTGTGAGACGTCATGCTGTCCGCGGTGCTGAAACAGTGACGTCAGAGGAGGAGGGGTGGGGGGCTGCTCGTCACGCATCCTCTCCTCTGCTGCCATTTTTTTGTTTGTGCTACAGGCTAACTTGCTAAGCGAGGGGTCTCCATCAGAAGGAGGCGGAGAGAAAGACTGCAGGCAGCAGAGAGAGGCAGTCCTATCACAAGACTGAACCTTCCCTGGAGAACCGGGGAGCTCTTCCGCACAGGAAACCGTTACTAGAAAGGCTGTACAATGTCCGATTTTGACAGCAACCCGTTTGCAGACCCGGACTTCAGCAATCCCTTTCAGGTAGCTCACTTAGCTGGTTAGCGCTTCGAAGCCCACTCAGGCCAGGCGTACTTTAGCATCCGTGCTAACTGTCTTTGCTAGCAGCTGGACAGCTAGCTATAGGTGTTCCTTGGTACACGGCTAGGTAGCAGAGAGAGCTAATCATCGTTCATGTTATTTATCTCATCACTCACACATGGTGTAGCTGCTTGTGAAACCATAGCTGTGGAGGACTATGTCGGATGTTTTTAGCTTTTCAATAACGATTAAGAACAAAGACACATGCTGTTAGCTTGCTAGCTAACTAGCTAGCTGTGTCCACCGTCAGTAAACATTTGCTGTCACCTGCTAGCTTGGTAAATAGCTAACCGGCTGGGTGGTATCAGTTAGGTACATTGTGTGCCTACCAATATTTCTAAAGGTCGCTGGGACGCGGAGATTAAAACGTCTTGTTTGAGTAATACATGGTCACAGCGGTTTCAATAGAAACTTAACTCTGCGTTATTTTCATGAACTGCACCTAAAAACGTGTCAGACAATATTGACACTAATGTTAAACTGTTGACAGTTAAGATAATGTTAGTTTGTTGTTCATTGTAGACCAGATGTAAGCAACACGGTGTTTATTTGTGCTACAGCAGAATTTATTCTCCCTTACACATTATCCTACCTCTTACTATAATACAGCCAGCAGTCTGCAGGGTTTCATCCCAGCTCAACACCTGTGTAGGTGATTTAAAGGAGTCCCTCACCTGCTTGGAGGTGTGTTAAGTGGTGGGTGGAGTCTTGGTTGGGAGGAAAACCTGCAAACTGTTGGCTCTTCATGACACATGGTGGGCCATCATAGACTGTCCTGTCCTGCAAGCATGTGATTAACTGCCCCTCCTGTACCTGATCCCATCCGCAGTGTTTCAAATGGCCACAAGATCAAGGTCACTTCAAATAAAATATAGTACCGTGAATGTTTTTATTGTGTCGCATGGACATCCTGGTGTCTGATTCCACCCTACCTGTAATGTGTCAACACATTAATAATAACTGGTGAGAACATGTGAATGAAAAGACCCCGTGAATGTGCGGTCAGCTGTATCTTTTATATATAAATTATAGTTTAGTTAACAACAACAATAAATTAGCTTTGATTTTGTGGGTTGTAGTGTGAAACCCTTTGTGGTCCTCTCTGTCCCGTAGGATCCTTCAGTGACGCAGGTGACCCAGTCTGCCCCTCCTGGTGGTCTTGAGGAGTATAACCCTTTCACAGACGCCAGAACGGTCAGCTTAACTAGCCTCACTATTGATAAATGTGTGCATGCATGTGTTTTTGTGCTTCTGAGTCAGTGACCTCATTTTATCCACTAGCCTCTTTCTCTCTTCCTCCACCTCTTAGTCACAGAGGATTTAACAAACAAAATATGACTGTGCCCTAATTACAGTGTTGATTCATTGTCTTTTGATTGCACAAATATTAACATACCAGGTCTATTCTGGCTTACAGGCAGCTCCTGGAAATGCCCCCAAATCTGCTCCAGCCCCTGCCCAGAACACACAACCTGCCATCATGAAGCCCACAGAAGAGCCGCCGGCTTACTCACAGCAACAGACTCAGGTACCACACACAGTCTGTGTCTTCAACATTTTTATTCACAACTCTGTAACATTATAAAGACACTCTCAGTCTTGGCTTCTGGTTCACATTTCCTCTTGTCCTTCATATACTCATTTGTTTTCTGATGGCCAAACAGCGGCGTAATGAGGTACTGTCTGTCATCTGATGTGTTTTTTTCGTAATCCTTCATGTCACTGTCTTGAATAGTGTGAATTCATTTAATGCCCTTTCCCCACTTGTAGCTTTCCCCTTGCAGTGCAATTTTAGAGCTAGTTTAATACTAACTAAAGAAGACAAGTGAGTGAACAACAGTAGCTGATTGCTTTTCCAACCGTAACCTTTTTTTTCCCTTCTCAAACTAACACTCCTAATCTTACCTGAGTGGAAAAATACCTTCATTACTTACCTGATTGGATATTATAACTCCTGTCAGATGTTGGGCAGTGAATTTTAAGAGCATTTCTGTGTCTGTGTTAGGATCAAGCGCGTGCTCAGGCTGAGTTGTTGAGAAGGCAGGAGGAGTTGGAGAAGAAAGCAGCAGAGCTTGATCGTCGGGAGAGAGAGTTACAGTCCCACGGAGCCGCGGGAGGTTAGTCAGACAGCCAGCTAGTACATCATTCACTCACTTAATTCACTCACTTACCAGTGTCTGAATGGTCATTCCCAGTCAAAGCTAGATTCATGAAAATGTTGCTAAGACTCAGAAAGTTGATGTGTTACCAGAGCAACAACATAATTTGGTTCAACGTTTCATTTGTAATAAACATTATAACTCTTCTTATAAGTTCATTTATTTATTAACCATTCTATGGAAGCACCAATATACAGTTTTTTTTCTCTGCTGCGAATAAATCATCTCATTGGCATGATTTCATTAAAAATAATTTAATTTTTGGCAAAATATCTCATAAATGGCCTCTTAGACACTCAGCAGTTTCAAAACAAATATGAGAACTGATGTGATACAGTGGGAAAAGTATCTTTGAGCTTTATGCACTGTGGCTTACATTATCAAAAGGCATCTAGAAACTGAGAAGAACTCGAATTGAAGGTATGCTAGCATCCGTTTTTAAACAAATGTAGAGTTGCTTTTCCACTAAAGGCTCCTAATTAGAATCCTCAATTATCCAGAATGTAGTATATTGTATTTCCTATACAATAAAAAGTCACAAACATTTCTCACTTCACTTACCCATATCTTACTCGCATTTACTTATTTAAGTGTATATACAGTGATCACACAGAGAATTAACTTTCTATGATTTACAGTGTACTTTTTTATTCTGATTCTTGCACACACACTTGATATTAGATCCTTCACAGTGTGTTAACCTAGGGTGAAACCTCTAGGGTGATACTATACATTGCTAATCATCCAAACACATCTGCCTTTGTCCACACAGGGCGTAAGAACAACTGGCCTCCACTGCCAGAGAAGTTCCCTGTTGGCCCATGTTTCTACCATGATATTGCAGTGGACATTCCTGTAGAGTTCCAAAAGACCGTCAAGATCATGTACAACCTTTGGATGTGTAAGTGGATCGTCTGACACATATTAGGCAGTATTGCCTCCTAGACCATTGAATATTATCATTATTTATATCAATTCTCTCACACACTTCTTAGATCATGTGGGTTTACAAGACAAACCCATATATTGTATTGCAAGAGAAGGCACCTGCCCTGCAACATAATTCACTTCATTTTTATATTTATTTTGCTGAGCATAAATGAAAGTTTACTTTGTTGTTATACTTGAATGACACTAAATGTCTTCATTCTGTTGATCTGCCAGTTCATGCAGGCACGCTCTTTGTGAACATGTTTGGCTGCCTGGCCTGGTTCTGTGTGGATGCATCTCGTGGCGTAGATTTTGGCCTGGCCATGTTGTGGTTTCTGCTGTTTACCCCGTGCTCTTTCGTCTGCTGGTACAGACCGCTTTACGGAGCTTTCAGGTAAGCAGATAAATGTGGAAAGTTGCACTGCCTTCTGCAGCCATAGAAAAAATCAGAAACAAGTCTCTGTGGACAACCATTATATGCTGATAAAGCAAAAGGCAGCGATTGCTCCAAGTATGAAATTAGTTCAAAGGAGCGAGCAGTTGACTGTTCTACCCATACACTTAATATTTCCCAATAATATTTTGCTTTATGTAAAGAGCGTATCAAGTAAAGACACAAATAAAGGTAGACTTTCACTGTCTGAGGAAAGTAGAGAGGAATTAATATTTAATGGAGAATTAATTAGTGACAGAGTTGAAGACATTTAATTACTTCTGCCTCGTTCTCTCACTACCTTGTTCTCTGTCTCCACTACAGGAGTGACAGTTCATTCCGCTTCTTTGTCTTCTTCTTCGTCTATATCTGTCAGTTTGGAGTTCATGTCCTACAAACTATTGGCATCGCTGGCTGGGGAACATGGTGAGTGTTTTATTGTTTTTACCGATTCTGTACCTCTATGTGTGTGTGAGAACTGAAGTTCTCTCATGTTGTCATTGTCTTGTTTTGCCAGTGGTTGGATCGCAGCTTTAACTGGTCTGAACACCAGCATCCCAGTGGGCATCATCATGTTGCTGATTGCAGCTCTGTTCACTGCACTGTCCGTGGGCTCGCTCATTATGTTTAAAAAGGTAACACAATCCCAAAATAATCCCAACATGTCAGCCCCAGTTGCCGTGTTTAATTGACTTGACCTGAGATGAATGAAACCAAATGGCAGTAGCAAGCTATCTCATTATGGGAGACAGCCCATGAAAACAAGGTTAAAAACAGGTTAATGATAATTATTTGAACACTATTAATAAATGTTTTCATAGTTGGAATATTGGAGAGTGGACACATGTATTCTGACTAACATACTGACAATACAGGGGATGTGGGTCCAAGAAGACTCTTGCAAGGTGTAAAGAATAAACAGGATGTCATTACTATTCACTAATAATGTTGAGCTAAACGACAATGTTGTGAATCACTCAGTGCTGTGCTAAAGACCTTCTGGTTGATTTGAATCACTTAACTTAATTCCAACCTATTTTCTTCTCTGCTCTTTCCAGGTGCACGCACTGTATCGTACCACTGGTGCTAGTTTTGAGAAGGCCCAGCAGGAGTTTGCAACCGGGGTCATGTCTAACAAGACCGTTCAGACTGCAGCCGCCAACGCTGCAGCTAATGCTGCGTCCAATGCTGCTCGTGGGGCATTCAAACCTCAGCCATAAACTGACACACATACACAAACATGCATACATGCTCACACATACGACACACACACACACACACGCACACACACACACACACACACACACTCAAAAGTTAGAGGTGCACAACTCTGGCCCTGCAGGCTCTCAGATCAAATTGATTCAATTTATGAATGTTGTTATGCTAAAATTGCCCTGCACACTTTGCTTAAAAGTGTCAGAGAGAGTCAGAGACCAGAAGTAACAGAGAAGTATTAAGATAAAGTGACCAGAGTTGTCCACCTTCACCTTAATCAAGTTTCAGTAAAAACTCTCTTACATCCTTCCTGTCTGCTTTTCAGTCAGATGAGTGTGCTCACATCCCTTGAAACATCCACTAAGTGACTCAAGGTTTGCTCTGAGTGTGTGGGATTTCATCTCCTTCCTTCGCTTTCCCTGTTCTCCTGTCACCCTGAGGTGATTCTAGGTCAGTCAGAGGTCGCAGTTCTAGCATACCTTTATTTTATCATGGTGTCGACCTCCAAACAGCTTCCTGCCTGGTTAATACAGTATAGACTCATGAAAAGTGATAATCTGATCATGGTGTTTTGCACATAGTTCTGTTTTCTTGGTCACATGCCGAAAGTACAGTGTATGTTTGAGTGGCTGGGCCCGTGTGTGAATGTGTATTTCACTTTAAGAAAATTGTGGCTCTGACTTGTTTTTTTATATAACCCAGTGCTTGGTCCGTGAGATCTGAAAGGTGCATTTTATCTTGTCCTATATCTGTGCTTCTGTTCCGAGACAAGTACCATCCTGGTAATCCATATAAATAGAAATGTGACGGTATGTTCTTACTTAAGGACCTGCCTGTAGCCTCTAGCAGTGCTCCAGTGACACCTGTCAGTTGAACAATTATGTCCACTTTGTGTGCTACTTTGATCGGCAACGCGGGCTGGGTCAGCATCTTTGTGGCTTACTAAGATCTGACAGCATGATAACGAAATGCATGTTGAACACACTTAAGGTAGCTGTTTATTTGGCAAAGTCATTCTTTCCACTAGCAGCCTTTTCTTTGGCTACAGGTGGCAGCTGGTTTTGGGGGGAATGTCTGCCTACTTATTTTCCCCTTAGCTTCTGTGAGAAGTGAGCTGTAATAGAAGTTATTGCATGTCCCAGAGGCTGTTTGACTGATTGATGATGTTTGGATCTATTTGTGAAGACGCTCTGAACACCCAGGTCAACAGCAACGTCACCAGTTCACACCACAAACCTAAAAGGTTCAGATGCTTTCCTGGCCTGGTGCACTAAAAGGGTGGAAAAACGTGAGAAATGTTCACATTTCCCTTTATGTATGTATGTATGATACTAACAGACTACATTTTGTAGCCCCTCACACTTGGTTAAAAACTAACGCTGCTATGGATCTGAGAGCCGCTTGGTCGTGGCCTCCTGCTGTCATGTTTCCTGTTGAAAAGGACACATACCATACGTAGAGAGAGAGAGAAGTGACCTGCCTTTTCTCACAGAAGATGGCCTGGACAGTGACAAAGCTATGATTTTTCTTGAGATTAACATGCATAAATAAGATACTAAACACATTGATACTGTGCATATGTACACAGCATAGACTAACAGTCTGATTGCATTTTTACAGACAAAGAAAGTTAGTCCCGTGATTTTTCCTCTGTCAGTATTGGTTTACTGACATCAGACGTTTCATAGCCAAAAAGAACATTAGAATAACAGAGGATTGGACTTGATAAGATACAGTAATTTATATACATAACAGTGTTATGCAGCACTACGTTGTACACACTACTGTCACTGAAGTCAAATATGGACGTGGGTTACATTTGTATCGTGCTTTAGCACCTCATAGTGGTGGTGAGTGTCTGAAGATGTGCATGACAGATGACTGATGACTGGTACCGCTGGTATTACAAATGTATGGACTGAACATTATCGTGGACAGAATACTCCTGATAGTGTTACAAAGTTGAAGGTTAATTTGTCACAAAATAATAACATCTTGGCAGTATTGTTTTCCTTTGGAAATGTTTTGTTTTAAATTCATTGCACATTTTTTGTTTTACGTTGAACTTAGTGCAAAAGACAAACATGTTTTTATTTATGGTGTAATTTAAGTTGTTTGCATTTCAACTTTGTTTGGTTTTGATTTCATATAATGTATTATGTTTGTGTGGTTTTGTAATGACATGATCATAGTGTCGGCTAGATTTAAAAGTGTTTAATGACTTTGCAACTTGACCCTGCAAGAGGTTTGCTTGTGTGGATGAGGATGTGTGTTTGATCGGTATGAAAGAAAAAAAAAATCTCCCTCAAGTGTTATTCTATGTCCTAAAAAGCTGTGAGAAATCTACCAAATGTCCATATAGATTTGTTTTTAAATCTTGGTTTGTGATGTGTTCCCTTGCCATGTTTTACTTTAAGGTATTACACAACTTTTCTTTGCTACAAACACCCACATGATTCCCATGTATCTATAGTTTTAAACTGTTGTTATATGAAGCCATGCCACAGTGGGTAATTTCTTGATGTATTTGGCGAGCTGGTCTGCAGTACAGAATGAGGTGTCTGTAGTTTGCTGACACAAAACTGTGTTTTTGACCTGTGACCATGTTATTTCACTGAATCAGAGAAGAAACTCATTCAAAAGGGACACTTGTATATTTTGTAAAGTTGAAAATCTGATCCCCATTATCAATCACATGTAAAAAGAAAATGTAATGCACTCTTGTCTGGCCTTTGTTGCATGTGAAATAGTTTGAGTTTTGTATATTTATGGTATTAACATGAAATAAAATTTGAAAGAAACATTTGTGGATTTTCAGAAAACCATTATGTAGTTACATAACTTTTATCTGCTTCTTATCTGTGTGAATTATTGTTTAAAAAAATTACTGTAATCAAGTAAAGGTTTGTCCTTAAACCAAACTTCTTACCAGATATTTGCTCAGTCTTTCTGGCCTGTTGTGACCCTTAAAATGAAGCCTGAAGTCTACTCATGACCTCTTGTCACAGTTTGTTATAAAGGAGTTGTGAGTATTTCAACCAAAAAGTTGATGTTCACTGGTCAAACTCTTAATTTAGACTGTTTTTAGTGGACTGACGAAGTAAAACTTGTGTAAGTATTTAAATGTGTCTTACCCAGGTTGGGAGGGACTGGATTTAGCTACTGTTCTGTGATGTCTACTTTCCATCTCTAGGTGTCAGTGTTTACTCAGGAAGTTTTGGTACAACAACATAGGAGCTTATATAAAATATCTAAGTAAAAGTTTTATGAACTTAATCACAGATATATTTACTAAAGAAAGCCTTGTTTATTTGAGTACAGTAGTACAGACTATCTCTACTCAGACATATCAATCTCTCATACATGCAGCATCATACAATGTGCCACAGATGCTCTTTTGTTAATGTAACAAAAACAGCGGGACAGTGAACATATTAATTTAAGCACAGACAGGTTAGAAATGCTTTTTTTTTAATACAAATCCATATCATGATTTCACTCAGTTTCATCCTCTCAGTCCACTCACTCTCACAACAAACACACTATAGTAAAATTATTGCACATCTCATCTACAAAGAATAAAAGCAATCACGTGACATTTACCTCAACTTAATGTAGCACTGTTGGAAAAAAAAAATGAAAACAGGTGAACAAAACATGAAGCGATGTGAAATGAATTAATGACCAAGTGCAAAACACAATATCAGGTGATCTTTAGAAATACTCCAAATGTACCAAACAAAATTGTATTCACTTTTTTTTTTGTTGTGGACATCTTTACAAAGCTAGTTCTTGTCTATATGGTGTGACATAAGGTAACTAATGATAAGCTATGGTGCCGCCTGCTTTATCTCGCTGTGAGCAAACATCCCCTCATGAAAACTCACCATGTGGTAGATTCTCTGTTCTTTTTCTGCACACACTGTTAATGAGGTGCAATAGAGCCACAAACAATCCATTTAACAGGAGGAACTCCCTTTAAAGTGAACAATCCCTTAAGTGGCATATTTAAAAAATATGCTAGAGGGTCTTATTGTCCTGCTGTGCCACAGAATCTAAACATATGGACGTTCGTAAACCTCAACAGTTAATGTCTATCACACACACACACGTCCATACGGAGAGCATTATGCAAGCGTTGTTGGGTGTTTTAGTGGATTCATCTGCTAGTATTTAGTGGTTTGTTGAGGTTTGCAGGTGAACCATATGAATGAACATTATAATGACATTACAACTCTACACACTGTTTTACTGGCAGTGTTTAACCTGTCCACAATAACACTAACAACACATCCCCTACCAATTTCTTTAACTAATCTCCTGCTATTTCAATACAGTGGTTTGTTTAAGGCAAGAAATATTACAAAAATAAACAGTATCTTGGTCAAAAACTCTGGATAAGTGTATAGGTAATGTTCCTTAGCCTGCTGCTATACCAGAGCCTTTCTGGAAGGGTAACCTGAAGCTGTAGAATGGAATGTTTTTTTCTTGGTATCATTAGGTAGGCTTCAGCAAGTTTCTGAAGAGAGCCTAAAGATTAAAAAATCAACAACCTTTCAACAATCAGCGGATTTTATGCAGGCTATTATGACGAAAATCACTCAGAGAAACGTCTGTCACTCCCTCCACTGAGATGTACAGGTATTTCCCAAGGTTTCTGAAGGCTCAAAGCAGGCAGATCAGACTTTTCCCCTCCTCAATCTCCTCCTGAACCTTATCGCTGGAGGTGGCAATCTCAGCCTGTGCGGACAGAACAGCACACAGGAAGCTTGCCAGCGTTCCTCCTATGGCTGCGTAGAACGCCCAGCCGAGTGAGCAGTGATCGGGCTTGAAGGGCGAGGCCTCGGGGCCGCAGTAGCTGATCACCTTCTCTGAACCCCAACCAGCAGGGTACAGCATGAGGCCCACCATCAGCAACAGGCCTGGAGGGAGAGCAGACGATGAGACGAGGGGTTTAGTCACGTACATGTAAACATCGGGGCTGAAAGCACAAACAGATCACAGTGCAGCTGGGAACAGGGTGACTCAACTCTGGTGAAGAACACATCTATTTTTTAGCTTACAAGCATTTGACTTGTGATGAGAGGAAAGACCCTATTTGACCTGCCCTACAGTGATGTTCACATGATGATAGATTACCTACCCTACAGATCTATCCACCTCAAACACACCTGTGGGGGCCTATTGTTTGAAAGAAACATGCAAAAAGAGGTTTGGTTGGAATATTCAACCTCCAACTAGGATGAATGTGCGATGGACATATGTTGGCAACTTGTAAACTCAATAAAACCCTGAAATTTCCTAAAGACAATATTATAAAATGAACAGTAATATGCTTGTATAGATGTTTACTATGTGTGCCTATGTATGCCTTCTTGATTTTGTTCATGGTTCCTCTTCCTGAGCTCAATCACCATAACATACAGTTTTAGAGAATGCAAATTTTGTGGGAACTTACAATTTCCTTCCTTTACAACACGCAACTTTGAATGTGTGCACCCAGAGGAAGCCCAACAAAAAAAGTGCAAATTATTTTGTATCACTTTTTTTTCAGTTTTACTTCCTCTGTTTTGCAGAAATCATAGCATATCTTCATCTTGTTTGCAAGTTTTTAAAGTTCAAGTAGTTTGGTTTAGTGACAACATTATAACAGGACTTTGTCTGAGAATATTTTCATTGTTGTCCCTGTTTGTTCGCAGTCCACCAGCCTTAATTAAAACAGAGACAGACATTCAATGTCTGAAAGAGATATATTAGAAAACTTAATTTGTATGGGAAGTTTTATGAGTAAGTTGTATACACGAAGAATGTATACAACTGTACTTAAGAATGTGCTCTTGGTCTTGCTTTGATTAATCTCTCTTACTCTTTTCCTGTGTTTCCTGTCTATCCCTACTCTACACTATTAAATGTTCCAATTTCAGTGAGACTTATTTCTGAGAGCACAGTTTTTGTGGAAGATCTGGACACAGGCCTCCTTTCTCTGTGTCAGATATGTACTAAACACACATACACCCATATCCACACACACACACACACACACACACAGATAGAGGTCTTACCTGCGATAGCCTGAAGCAGTCCACAGATGTTGAATAAGCTCTTCTTCAAGATGCTCTGGAAGCACAGGCTGAAGATGGAGATGCAGGCCACTCCTCCCAGCACTAACGTCCCTGCTGCCAGAAACAACATTGCAGCCTGCCAGAAGCCACTGGCCACTTCTCCAAATGTCCCAGCGTAGGGCCCGCAGCTCACCCCTACTCCGCGGGTCCCGATACGGAGGCAGCGGCTGTAGAGGCCAAGAGACGGCCTGTACTCCCCGGAGTCCACTCCAGCCCCACTCGTGCTGGAGTCCGACCGAGGGAATCCCAGCAACCAATCAGAGCTCATGAAGGCAATGAGCTCAGCAAAGGCCACCACAATACTGAGCAGTGTCCAGAGCATGGAGCGGCATGTTACTATAACATGGCACATGGCGTTAAGTCTTTCTGTGATGGTAACAACCGATGATTAAAAGAAATAATTCTTGAAGCCGTTTAAAGCTCCTCCGAGTGACGGAGCACTGATATTGGGGAGTTTAAATTCCTTTCCTTACACAGAGAAAGGGCCAGTAGGTTCCCTGTTCAGATCCAGATGGGCTGCTGATCTTATCCTCTGTGAGCAGATGTTTTCCCTGCACTCACGACTCTTTGCTTTCTTCTCTGCTCTGGTCATCCCAAAACAGCTACAACGCACCGAAGCAGCTTCCCTCAGCCATGATGCTGTTTTGAAAAGCACACCTACAGACACAGACACACAAGAGGCTCAGGGAGGGACAAAGTATCTGTATACATATTATAAACTGTGAGTAACTGACTTGTACAAAGAGAAAAGAGGGACATAGTATAAGAAGGATGAACAGCGACTGATTTCCCAGTCCACTATGAATCATCAAGCCCCCTTGTGCTTGCTGGATGGTCCACAGGATGTATAATTTGTACCACTGTCATCAAACAGACCCATCCTCACCCACCATCTTCCCACAGAGTGCCACTTCAGATTCACTATCAGCCAGCTGTGAGTGTACCATGAGCAACACTTCCAGATGTCTGCTGGAACAGTCAAGATGAATCACACACACACATAACTGTTAGAGAAAACAGAGTTTATACTGTCGTCATTTTACTCATGATTAATAAGCTTTTACGTGCTTGATTTTATCTGCAGAATGACTGGAGTCTTGTGTGTCTTGCCACTGAGCAGCTGTCAGCGCAGATCAGTGCAGAGCTCTGTTACAGCATGCTGCATTTGACAGTAACACATGCCAGATCCTCACTGCTGTAGCAAGCACACACATGACATGAACTGGAGCTCAATCAAAATTAAAGTCTGAACAAATGCAATATATTAGAAAGAATGGTTATTGGCTTCATTGTAGCATTTTATTATGTTAGTTTTGATGCTGCAGCAAAAAAAAAAACTTTGTTCTCTATTCAACAGCAATCAAAACCTGATTACAAATAACTTGTAACCTTTAACAGATGATATTTTCAGAGCAGTCCTGTGTGTACATGTGAGCCAGTGTTCAAGTGTGTTTTTGAGTGTGTGTATGTGTGTATAGGTCCCAATCAAAGCCATTGTGATACTGTTGCTATGTTATGATTTAGTTGCTGTGACCACACTGGCCTCAACACAGCCGTGGTCTCATGGGAGCACAGAGGTTTCTCAGAAGTCGTCTGATGTCATGATCCAGCATTATGATACAGACAGGAAAATATGTAGGGTCTAGTTTAAATACAGTATGGTTGACTCTGCTGTCTTG